CAATGGAGATTTGAAGAGTAAATATATTTTATGTGAGTGCTTAATACAGTGCTTTATACATAGTGAGTATTATGTATGTTATGGAAGGTTTAGCTATTATTATTGATTGTTTTTGGAGAAAGTCAGTTGAATAACATCAGTTCTTATTTACTTTACCTGTGTTTGATCTGCCTATTCCTTTTTTTGTTTTAAAGATTTTATTTATTCATTTGACAGACGGAGATCATAAGTAGGCAGAGAGAGAGGAGGAAGCAGGCTCCCGCCGAGCAGAAAGCCCGATGCGGGGCCTAATCCCAGAACTCTGGGATCATGACCCGCGCCGAAAGCAGAGGCCTTAACCCACTGAGCCACCCAGGCGCCCCTGCCTATTCCTTTTTATTAAAATGGCCAATTTTTTTGTTTGCTTGAAATTAGAGCAGCCTCTGTCTCTTGAGGTACACTGTCTTGGTGATGAATTAGACCACTAAATTCCACTTACATTTTCTTTTGATAAGTAGGATTCTAGTGTTAAGGGATATTAATCCACTTTGTTAATACTAGTTTTATAATTGCAAAATCAGTGTGACACGGTGCGAGCACTGATTCTCTTGTTGGGTTATTGCCGTCTTTGCATTGCCTTGTGCCATACCGCAGTAGAGGGATGAGTTAATCACCTTTCCTGTATGGTCTGTCCCCTGATGCTTGATAACTTGGCTGATGGCTCTTTTGACAAAGACTGTAGCCAGTTTCCTACAGCTGAGTAACCTTTTACAACTGTTTAAATAAATCACTTTTTAAAAACAGTTAAAACATTCCAAGTGTGAAAGAAAAATGCTTTTTATTTCCAAGTGTAAACTAAGTCCCCCTTAATATTATTTTTTGAAGCAAATGTTTGTGTATTTTGAAATTTTAAAAAATTCTATGAAATAGAATTTATCATTGCACTGAACTTTCATAAACTACTTGTTTAAGAACTGGGTGGCTCAGCTCAGGTCATGATCTCAGAGTTCTGGGATCGAGCCCTGCATCGGGCTCTGCTCAGTGGGGAGCCTGCTTACCCCTCTCTCTCTGCCTGCCTCTCTGCCTACTAGTGTTCTCTCTCTCTCTGTCCAATAAATAAATAAAATCATAAAAAAAAAAAAAGAATTAGGGCACCTCGGTGGCTCAGTTGGCTAAGCAACTGCCTTTGGCTCAGGTCATGTTCCTGGAGTCCCGGGATTGAGTCCCACATCGGGCCCTCTGCTCAGCAGAGGGAGTCAGCTTCTCCCTCTGCCCCTTGCCCCTCTCGTGTTCTCTCTCTCAAATAAATAAAATCTTAAAAAAAAAAATTACTGGTGGGCTCCTGCGTGGCTCAGGCAGTTAAGTGTCTTCCTTCGGCTCAGGTTGTGATCCTGGGGTCTTGGGATTGAGTCCGACCTTGGGCTCCCTGCTTGGCAGGGGGTCTGCTTCTCCCTTCACCCCTCCCCTGTTCCTGATCGTTCTCTCTCTCTCTCATGCTCGCTCTCAAATAAACAGATAAAATTGAAAAAAATATTACTAGTGACAGTGGATAACAGAAATGAATTTTGTGAAAAAGCAAAACTTATTACAAAATTTTTTAAACTTAATTGAACAAGCAAGTATGTTTCAATCTGTTTATTTTTTATTTTGCTTTTGTTTCAGCTTAACTAGGCATCGTTGAATTATTTTTGTGTTATCAGATTTCATAATTAAAGTAGCTAAAATACTGTATTGTGAAATGAGAGGCCATCCATTTTGGAATAGCTCTGAAAAGCTCTCTGTACCTAAAAACTACACTGTTCATTTGAGTTGTGCCACTGTTCATTTGAATTGTGATAGCTCTTTAAAATCTAATTATGTTTATGTTTATGATCAGATATGATTAAATCCATCAAAATTGGGAACAAATGATTCCGTGTTTGGAAGTACTTAAATCCTGATCTTAGTGATGTGTGGAAGTACTTAGATTTTTTTATTTTTTATTTTTTTTATTTTTTATAAGCATATAATATATTTTTATCCCCAGGGGTACAGGTCTGTGAATCGCCAGGTTTACATACTTTTACAGCACTCACCATAGCACATACCCTCCCCAATGTCCATAAGATATATATTTTTTTAAAGGCAGCTGCTTATCTCCCTTTTTCCGAAATTTATGAGAAATATTACTCTTTATACTTTTTGATCAGTATTTTTATTAGAATTTTATTGTTTTTAAATTATAAAAAAGTACATGTCCCAGAGTATTAAAAAAGGATACTGTATTGATACTCCCAACATTTAAGAAGAAAACATAACCAGAACGTAAGAAAATAATAATGAAGTAAAAAAAAAGTTAATTTTTAAAACAAGATTTATTTATTGATTTATTTTTAGAGAGAGAGAGAGAGAGAGAGAGAGAGAATGAGAATGAATGGGAGGGAAAGGGGAGAGAGAATCTCAAGCAGACTCCCCACTGAGCATGGAGCCTGATGCAGGGCTGGGTCTTATGACCCTGAGATCATGACCAGGAGTCAGACACTTAACCAACTGCACCACCCAGGTGCCCCTAAAAGGTTAGTTTTTAGTATGAGCTAAGAATGAGTTAATGCAGCTAAATGATAACCTTTGTTGAAAAAAGAAAGCTATCTTGAGTAACAGGGTAGCAACAAAGAAATAAACTTATTGATTTATCTACATTATCAAATCTTTTTTTTTTTTTAAAGATTTTATTTATTTATTTGACAGACAGAGATCGCAAGTAGGCAGAGAGGCAGGCAGAGAGAGAGGTGGAAGCAGGCTCCCCGGGGAGCAGAGAGCCCGATGTGGGGCTCGATCCCAGGACTCTGGGATCATGACCCAAGCCAAAGGCAGAGGCTTTAACCCACTGAGCCACCCAGGCGCCCCTCAAATCAATTCTTTTGACAGCCTTCTTTTTTTTTTTTTTTTTTTTTTTAAAGATTTTATTTATTTACTTGACAGAGCGATCACAAGTAGGCAGACAGTCTGGCAGGGGTGGGGGGGAAGCAGGCTCCTTGCTGAGCAGAGAGCCTGATGTGGGCCTCGATCCCAGGACTCTGGGACCATGTCCTGAGCTGAAGGCAGAGGCTTAACCCACTGAGCCACCCAGGCGCCTCCTGACAGCATTTTTATTTATATGGGAATTTTCTCCCTGCATTGTCTTGGTCTGTTATTTTAATAAGCTAGTGTTTAAACTTTTTTCTTAAAACCTGATAGGGTGGAAATGGCCTATTAACTTGTACAGGACTAGAATGCTGTCAGTTTATTAACCATGTATGTTTGTAGGGATAATTTAACTAGTTCTTCCTTGAAGTCTCAGCCATGCCCAAACCTTGTAAGGGTAGGATTTCAGTTCTGATAACTGTTCTTTGCCAGCCACAGTAATATTTCTCCCTCAGTGGCATTAGGCGATGGGTATAAATTGAATCAGGATAGATGGATGGTTGCCATGAATATAATTATGCTGCATTTGAATCCAAAGAGCAGATAACAGCTGAGTCGGCAGTTCAGTTGCAGTTGTAGAAATAAATTCACTGCATTGCCACATAGTCCTATTTTATTGGAGGGAATATTTACTGATTTGTGCTATCGTCAATAACATTTAATGAAATTATTTTAAATGTTATAAAGTTGAGGGAGGATTTAAAGCTGTAATGAAAAGTAACCATCTCATTATGTTTCTGTGCAAAGTTTTCTTACTGTGTACCTATTTGTTTTACTTGTCATCATTAGCTTAGCAAGCTTTTAACTAAATTATTAACTAATAATTAACTGTTCTGTAAAAGGATATCACAGGTAACCCCAAAAGAAAAGTATGCCATGTAGGTATTTATATGCATTTAATGAATGCTTGATATATGCAGAGTACCAACATATCATCTTAGCCACTTACAAGCTGACTAACTTTAGGCAAATTGCTTCACCTCTAATACTTGGTTTTCTCATGTGTAAAATATGGATAAAGATAATACTTATAGGGTTATTATGGGAATTAAGTGAGTTAATACATGCAGAGGTTATGCTTAGTGGTCAGTGAATGTTAGCTCTTCCTCTTGTGTAATTAATTACAGATCAGTGAAAATTCTTATGTATTCTCTAGCCTTATGGCTAAGCTTCTAGAAAAGATGCTTAGCTCATTGAGAGCTAACGTATGTGATGATTCATTTCACTCTTCCATTAGGTTACCTAAATTTCTTGCTGGTTATATAACAACTTTGTTGAGGCTCCAACTTAAGTTCTATAAAGGCAAATAAGGTCTGCTTTGCTTTGAAGTATCTTATTTTGGAACTTGTATAAGAAGTGAGTAAGAGGGGTGAATTCCCTAAGTAACTCTAAAAAGAGGGAGATTTTCAGTTTTTCCCTTGTTTCTTGGCATAAGGAAACTGTATTTGGGGTTCATAAGTCAAATAATCTTTGTGAGGTTAGAAATGTGTTTGGGAAAACATAACGAAAAGTTAATTATTCTATTTTTATATGTATTTTATACCTTTGTCATCACCCTTTTATTGCGTCAGTAATTCAGTTTGTGTACTAATTTATTTATTAAAATAACATTAAGTACTGTGAAATTCTGTCATCTTCACAAAACGGTAGAAGGAAGATAGAAGTTATGAAAAGATGATTTGGTAATTCTCTTTTGACATAATTTTTAATATACCAAACCATTAAGTCTTTCCTTGCTACTTTTATAATTTAACTTGTTAGCCTTTATAGTTGGGTAAGTTGTAATGTGGTTACTGAAGTTGAATTAAAAACATATCAAGTTTCAAGGAACAAAATAACTGTAAGCAGAATTTGGTAGCTATGCGCGGTTCTCTACCACTTGTAATTTGATATGTCTTGGTAATGACTTTATCTGGATGTAGAGCCTAGTACAATTTGAGGGCATTTCAAGTAGATCTCTTATTCTTGTAGGCACAATGACTTTAGAAATAGAAAAAAAACTCTGGAATGTTGTCACTGTAAATATCACAGGGATAGGCAAATAGTCTTACTAACCAAATACTCACTTTTTTCCGTAGTATTGAATTTGACCGGGATTGTGACTATTTTGCAATTGCTGGGGTTACAAAGAAAATTAAAGTCTATGAATATGGCACAGTCATTCAGGATGCGGTGGATATTCATTACCCTGAAAATGAAATGACCTGCAATTCCAAAATCAGGTATTTAGATTATTTTTTTTTTGACATAATGCAATGTGTATATAACCTTTAATATCTATGATTCATATGAGTGTGTTAATTTATCTTTCTGTGAGACTGCTTATTCACTCATGGTAAACACTAATTGTAAACAAAGGATACTTTACAATCTTACAGATAGTCGTTGCTTTTTCCCTGTGGGGGTTACTAGTCATTGTTTTTCTGTTTGACAAATGAAAATCTTCTCTTTGTTCACTTAATCACTCAATCAAATAAAAATTTTTGTTGTAATTGACTTCCATGGGGTATTGAATAAAGGATTACTGTAGCCTATAAATAGTGTCTGAAAGTCAGGAATTTTCTCCCTAACATGTGCATGTCTCCAAATTTTATAATTGTTTATAATTTAAAAATTCTTTTTTAAAAATTTTTTATTTTTTATTAACATATAATGTATTATTAGCTCCAGTGGTACAGGTCTGTGAATCGCCAGGTTTACATACTTCACAGCACTCACCATAGCACATACCTTCCCCAATGTCTGTAAAGAATTCTTTTTATAAGAACATTCTGCTGCTTTTCATTGAGGGCCTAATATTTAAGTTTCGTATAGTAAGGGTTAAAGTTCATAATGAGTGCTTTTCAAATCTGGAATACTGTTAAAAATGCAGAAACTAGGGGCGCCTGGGTGGCTCAGAGGGTTAAGCCGCTGCCTTCGGCTCAGGTCATGATCTCAGAGTCCTGGGATCGAGCCCTGCATCCCTGCATCGGGCTCTCTGCTCAGCAGGGAGCCTGCTTCCTCTTCTCTCTGCCTGCCTCTCTGCCTGCTTGTGATCTCTCTGTCAAATAAATAAATAAAATCTTTTTTTAAAAAAATGCAGAAACTAGAAATTAGATCAGATCTGTCTCCCCCAAATCTTAGGGACATCTTAGAATCTGTATTGTTAAAACAAGCTTCCTGAGCTATTCTCATTGGCACTGGCTTAAAATGGAATACAAGGAAATCATATAATAATAAATTTATTTAGAACGTTGAACATTTTCTAGTTATCCTTCTAATCTTTTTTACCTGAATGAATGACATACGTAGTCTGGTTCTAATGCAGTCTGTTCGGAATCTTGCCCTGTTAAAATCTGAGGCACCCAGGCACCCCCTTCATAGGACTATACTTTAAATAAATCCATGCAATGCATTCAGCATAATACTTGGCCATTATCAAGAATCATAGTAAATGTTACTGTAATGACAATGTGGATTAAGGAATACACCTTTACTGTCTTGATACATGTAAAATTATGGCAATAGTTCATGGCATGTTGGAGTAAATGGAAGAAGCTGTTCATGGCTGAAAGCTATGGGATTAGGATTGAAAGGACCAATGTGTGAGAATGCCTAAAGCTAATTTGGAGCACACCAGTTGTGAAAGTGACCTAGATTACCGAGAACCACAGCTAGTAAGCGGAAGATCTGGGATTTGAGTTCAAGTCTATCTGACTCTAAAATTTAGCTCTTTTAACTATCCATCTAACTTCTCCTGGAAATCCAGTAAATATATGTAAACATGCAAATGAACTCTTACAGTCTCTGAAATTTAACATAAATACAGCCAGTAGAGAGTAAAAGACTATTGTTTTCATGTGCTTTGAAGTCATCTAGGTTAATTGCTTTACTAAGTGGCTTCTATCCTTAATATACATTAGTTTTATTACATGATTCATGTATGTGTCTCACTGAAAGCATACATTTTTAGATGTTGGATTCTTAGTTTTGGAGCTGAAACCGTAAGATGTTAAAAGCTTAATTGTAAGTGTTATATTCAGTAATAAGCTTATATTAGTTGTCGTTTTTTTTTTTTGTGATATAAATACAGAAACCCAATTCAAATTAATTTATTTGCTTATATGATTCAGCTCAGCTTGATCCAGGGGCTTACACAATTTGATCAGGTCTCTGTCATTGTGCTGTGGCATGCTTTGTGCTCTGTTGGCCTCTGTTTTCACGCACAGACATGCTCTCCTCATGTATGAAAGATGGCCATTGGTGGCTCTAGGCCCATGTCCATCTTTTGGCTGGTGATCAGAGTGAATAGTGGGAAGGGTTGTTATTTGGTAGTTCAATCCGAAAACTTGGCAGTTACTTGATACATTTTGTCTCAGCTGTGTTGTGGGCTGATTAATGATATGAAGTCATGTAGACGATTTGAAAAGTATTCTAATCTTTCTGCACACTTCAAAATTCTTCGTATTCATTGTTATTTATTTCTACATAAAATAAGGCTTAACTGTATTTCTTTCTTTCAGCTGTATCAGTTGGAGTAGTTACCATAAGAATCTGTTAGCCAGCAGTGATTATGAAGGCACCGTCATCCTATGGGATGGATTTACAGGACAGAGGTCAAAAGTTTATCAGGTAAATTAGAGTACTAGTCGTTTGTTTTTAAGAATCACGTTTTTACTTCATAATTATAGTTACAGTTACAGGTTTATAATTACAAATTTTAAGCCACTATTTGGCATTTTTTTATACCTATATAATAGCAAATAATGCTTTTCATTACAAGTTTAAAGCCTCTAGCATTTTTAATCCCTCTGTAATAGGAGATAATGCTTTTCTGAAGCATCACTTCAGACTTGTTTTGCATTTGTAGAAAGTGTCAAATGGATTTCCAAAAGCAATAAAATATGTATATATAAAAAGTTTGGGAATTACTTCGCATCTCATTTGTTTTCATGGCCTGTTCTCTCTCCCTCTCACCAGAGCCATAAATTGGTATCAAGCTTTTTCTTTATTTATTTTAAGATCTATATTTTGTCTAAGACTACTTTGTCTTTCTTCTATATCCAGGAGCACGAGAAAAGGTGTTGGAGTGTTGACTTTAATTTGATGGATCCTAAACTCTTGGCTTCTGGTTCTGATGATGCAAAAGGTACTATTTGAATCTCTTCTGCTTTCCCTCATGCCCTTACCCCCAACTTAATTCCTTTTATTAGCAGAGATGCAGATATTTATTAAAAATCATAGCAATCCTCTGTGATTATTATTCTAAAAACAATGTACGTACAACAATCTTTATATCTTTTTGAGTGAAAAAAATTAATATACTACATCTTCATTATAATAATATTTTCTAGATTCATGTCATATGGTGACATATTTATAACCAATTTCTTTATATATAACATCAAATAAACTTTTTTGCTGAAATATTTAGACATATCTCTTTTAAATTATATTCAATTTCTAGTGTATACTAAAGTTTTTCAGTGAAGTTTATCAATTTTCAAGGGAAACTTCTACATCTGCCAATTTAATTGACCTCTTCTATTTTTTCTTATATATCCCTGTTTACTATTCATGTTTTTCAGTTATACTTACTGTTTTGTTCTAGTTCTTCCCACCATTAGATTTATAAAGCCCTGTTAACAAATTTCTCTTATCTTAAAGTTAATGGCCTTAATTTTTTTGCCGTTCTTTTCTACCTATAACCTCCAGACTAGTGATTAGTTAGGCAAAGATAGCTCTAGTGTTGAAAAGTCTATTTCATAATGATAGTGCATGCCCTATTCTGTAAGTGGAAAGTGAACATGACTGGACTTTTCCCCCATCCAAAAGTAGCAAGTTGTTTACCCATAGTATTTTCAAATTGAAATACCTTTCTTCTTGATTGTTTTAACAAATTATTCTTGAATTCTAAATTATTTAGAGCAGCATATGACAGTCGATATTTGTATGTTAGGGATACAAAGTTTCACTAATGTGAAATGTTTTTTCTCATAGTATATGGGGATAGCTTTTATTGAGTTGAATACTTGTAATTTTGTACTGAAGATTAATATTTATTCAAAGGTGGTGACTGTTCAGAGTCTTCCTCTGGAAAATAGAAGCCATTCAAAACAATTTAAGAAGAAAGAAGTAGAAAGGGATTTTTAAAGTTATTTATTCATGTTAAATTGTATTAAAATGTACATAACATAAAGTTAACCATTTTAACCATTTTGAGTGTACTGTTCTGTGGCATTAAGTACATTCACACTGCTGTGCAATTTTCACTACCATCAGTCCATAGAACTTTTTTCATATTACCAAACTGAAACTGTACCCATTAAATGTAACTCCCCATTTCCCCTTTGCCAGCCCTTTGCAGTCATGTTTCTACTTTCTGCCTCTATGAAACTGAGTACTTAAAACTATCTCATAGGAGGGGAATCACACAATGTCCATTTGCAGTTGCCTTATTTCATTTAGCATAAAGTCTTCAAGGTTCATCCATCTTATAGCATGCATCAAAATTTCTTTTACAAGGCTAAATTATAATCTGTTGTATGAATGCATTACGTTTTGTTTATCCGCTCATTCATTGATGGATAGACATTTGGGTTACTTCTACCTTTTGGGCTCTTATGAATAATGCTGCTATGAACATGAGTGACAAAATATTTTTTCATGTCTTGGTTTTAGTTCTGGGTATATACTCAGAAATGGAATTGCTGGATCATATGGTACTTACATGTTTACTTTTTTGAGGAACCATCATTCTCTTTTCCATAGTGGCTGTACCATTTTACATTTCCACCAGCAATGCCTATTTCATTTTCTCCATACCTTCACCAACATGTTATTTCCTTCCTTCCTTCCTTCATTAATACTAATAACTTTAATAATGTAAAGTGGTATCTTATTGTGGTTTTGCTTTGCATTTCCCTAAGTGATAGTGATGTGTTAAGTATCTTTTTGTGTGTTTATTGGTCATTTGTATGTCTTCTTCAGAGAAATGTTTATTCAAGTCCTATGCCCATTTTTTAATCAGCTTTTTGTTTGTTTGTTTGTTTTTTTTTTTGGTTTGTTTTTTTTTTTTGGCTGTTGAATTATAGGAGTTCTCTGGATATTAATTCCCTTAATCAGATACATGATTTATTGATAGTGTGTTTTTATGCACAAAATTTTTTCATATTGATGAAGTCCCAATCGTCTCATTTTCTTTTGTTGCCTGTGCCATCCTATCCAAGGAGTCATTCATTACACTATGTTCAGTGTAATGAAGATTTTTGCCCTTTGTTTTCTTCTAAGAGGGTTATAGTTTTAGCTCTTCCATGTCTTTGATCCATTTTGAGTTAATTTTTGTATATGGTGTAAAGTTCTGATTTCATTCTTTCATATGTGAATATCCATTTTTCCTAGCACCACTTGTTAAAAAGATCGTCTTTTCCTCATTGAAAGATCTTGGCACCCATGTCAAAAATCATTTGATTATGCCTTCAAGGCTTTATTTCTGGAGTCTTTCCTGTTGGTTGGTCTGTTTTTCCTTATGCCACTATTGCACTGTTTTATAGCTTTGTTTAGAAATCAGGAAGTGTGACTCCTCCATCTTTTTTCTTTTTTTCAAGATTGTTTTGGCTATGTAGGGTCTGCTAAGATCCCATATGAATTTTAGGTGGATTTTATTTTATTATTTCTTTCCTTCTGCTTACTTTGGATTTAATTTGCTCTTCTTTTTCTAGTTTCCTAAATTAAAAGCTTGGGTTATTGATTATAGATCTTTTCTCTTTGCTAATATATGCATTTAATGTTATAAATGTCCCTTTAAGTGTTGTATCCCACAAGTTTTAAGTTTTATTTCAATTTTCCTTTATTTGAAAATATTTAAAATTGTTTTTGAGATTTCTTATTTGACTTATATATTATTTGGAAATGTGTTGTTTAATCTCTAGGCATTTTGGAATTTTCTAGCTGTCTTTCTGTTACTGATTTCTAGTTTAATTTCATTGAAGTTTAAGAGATACATTATTTAATTTCTCCTATTTTAAATTTGTTACAGTCTGTTTATAGTCCAGAATGTGGTCTGTCTTGGGGAATATCTCATGTGAGTTTGAGAAGAATGTATATTCTAGTTAGATAAAGTAGTCTGTAGATATCATTTATATTCATTTGATTGATGGCATTTTCAATTCAGCTGTGTCCTTACTGATTTCTCCCTGCTGATTCTGTCTATTACGGATTGAGGAGTATGTATTTTTCAGATTCTACATTGATCTATGTATTTCTTCTTTTTTATAACCCATTGTCTTGATTTGTGGTTTTACAGTAATTCTTGAAGTCTAGTAGTATGAGTCTTACATCTACGTTCTTGAAAATGATTTTAGTCCTGGACTTCCTCGGCTCTTCCATATACATTCTAGAATCAAGTTACCAGTACTTACGGAAGATCCTGCTGAGATTTTTATTAAGATAGTATTGAGTCTGTAGATCATTTGGGGGAAAATTGATACCATAAAAGTTGAGATTTTGGGGCACCTGGGTGACTCATCGGTTAAGCATCTGCCTTCGGCTCAGGTCATGATCCCAGGGTCCTGGGATGGAGCCCTGCATTGGTCTTCCTGCTCCGTGGGGAACCTGCTTCTCCCTCTCCCTCTGCCTGCTGCTCTGCCTGCTTGTATTCTCTCTCTCTGTCAAATAAATAAATAAAATCTTCAAAAAAAATTGAAGTTTCTATTCCATGAACATTTTTTTTAATAGTTTTATTTATTGGGGCACCTCGATGGCTCAGTCTTTAGGCATCTGTCTGCCTTCAGCTCTGGTCAAGATCCCATGTTCCTGGGATTGAGCCCCAAGTCGGTCTCCCTGCTCATTGTGAAGCTTGCTTCTCCTTCTCCCACTCCCCTGCTTGTGTTCCCTCTCTCACTGCCTCTGTCAAATAAATAAGTAGAATCTTAAAAAAAAAAAAAAAAGATTTTATTTATTGATTTGACAGAGAGAGCACAAGCAGGGGGAGCTGTGGAGGGAGAGGGAGAAGCAGGCTCCCCACTCTGCAGGGAGCCCAATATGGGGCTCAATTCTAGGACCCTGGGATCATGACCTGAACCAAAGGCAGATGCTTAACTGACTGAACCACCCAGATGCCCCTCCATGAACACAGTTTATATCTACCAAATTTAGTGTTAAGAAAAAATTTTTAATACTTTTATAGTTTTCACCATATAGATCCGATACATTATTACAACTAAAGAGTTTGTGCTATTGAAAATGGTGTTTAAAACATTAATACTCATTCATGTTTTACTAGTTTATAGGAAAACAGTTTTTTGGTTTTTTAAAAAGATTTTATTTATTTACCTGACAGACAGAGATCACAAGTAGGCAGAGAGGCAGGCAGAGAGAGAGGAGGTGAAGCAGGCTCCCCGCTGAGCAGAGAGCCTGATGAGGGGCTCGATCCCAGGATCATGACCTGAGGCAAAGACAGAGGCTCTAACCCACTGGGCCATCCAGGCGCCCCTTAGATTAGACTTTCATTGGACATGTTTTTGTCAGGTTAAGGAAATTCTCTTATTCCTTGTTTGCCAAGAATATTTATCATGAATGGATGTTGAATTTTATCATTTTTCTGTATCTGTTGAAATGATTATATTTTGTTTGTTTGTTTGTTTGTTACTATCATGAACTATAATGATCTCTTTTCACATCTTGAAGTAGCCAAGATGGGACGAAACCCATCTTTGCCATCATGTATTATCTCTTTTCTGTATTACCATGTTTGGTTTGCTGATTTATTTTTTTAAGGGATTTTTGCATCTATAATCATGAGGAGTATTGGCTTTTATTTTTCTGTTCTTGTAATTCTTTTTGTGACTTTCATATCAGGATAATGCTGGCCTAATAAAATGATTTGTCTTGTTTTGGGGGGTATAGATGGAAGTGATTGTTTAGAATTGTTGTTTTGTTCATAAATCTTTGGTATAACTTGTAACTGAAGCTTTCTGAGCCTGGAATTTTCTTTGTGTGAAGGTTTTAATTAATAATTTATTTTATTTTATTTTATTTTTTTTAAAGATTTTATTTATTTATTTGACAGGCAGAGACAAGTAGGCAGAGAGGTAGGCAGAGAGAGAGAGAGAGGAGGAAGCAGGCTCCCTGCTGAGCAGAGAGCCATAT